CTACAAAGAGGAAATTTCAAATTAGCTTGATGATCTTTTCGTAATTACATCTCTGCGAGAGACCGAGGTTCTACAACTTAATGAAACATTCAAGGGCCGATTGAAAAATCGAGGTCGCCGATATTTCCTCCAGCTTATTTTATATTCAGTTTATAAAATTTAAGCCTGTCGCGATTTCGTGCAGAAAAATGGCTGGGGAGATTATTGAAAAATCCAGAACGTAACGACAAAGATATTGTCCACGAGATCTCGACGTGGAACATGGTTGTGATACGTCACGTGTCGGGTTTCGTTGACATCCTGAAAACAAAATTGCAATTTTCGGTTAATTTTTCTAGTTTTTAACTAGTTGGGAAGAGGAAATTCAAACAAAGAGGAAATTCCAAATTAGCTTGATGATCTTTTCGTAATTACATCTCTGCGAGAGATCGAGGTTCTACAACTTAATGAAACATTCAAGGGCCGATTGAAAAATCGAGGTCGCCGATATTTCCTCCAGTTTATTTTATATTCAGTTTATAAAATTTAAGCCTGTGGAGAAAAATGGCTGGGGAGATTACTGAAAAATCCAGAACGTAACGACAAAGATATTGTCCACGAGATCTCGACGTGGAACGTGGTTGTGATACGTCGGAACGTGAACGGTAGAGCAGATTGCATAACACGAGGTGTAAGTAACCGGATTTTCGATCGACCTTGAGCGTAAGCACAAGTCGAGAAATTCGGGCAGCGAAGTTCGAGCAAACGGCTATTTCGTAGATTCGAAATCATTCGTGAAACCATCGGAACGAGACGGAATCGAAAACGTCGGCGCCGAATTTTCGTAATCGGCGTGGCCGTAATCGCGCGGACGACGTTTCATCAGGAATGAAGGAGGAACGAAGACACGAAGCAACGAGAGCGAGATGCGTTACGTTTGGCAGTGGTTGCGGTGCCAGTTTGTTACCAGCTAAATAGCATGCTATCGTTGAAAATGGTTTCTACGTTCCACCATTGTTTTCGCCTGCCGGCGGATTCGATTATCCCACTAAAGCTTTCTGGCACAATTTCATCGTGGGACCGTGCCACTGCTGGAACGACGAATTGATTTGTTGGAAACGTGACTTACGCCATTCGCTTGTTGTACTTTCGACGTGAGAATATACGTGCCTGTACAATAACGCTGTACGCCCGGCTTGTCCTATGTAAATCCTTTTCCACGTCGCGTCGTTAGCGGCTGTGCAACAATATTGCCAGAGACCAAGAGATTCAAGTGTCAAAATTCATTGGCTGGCATAATTAATCCTCCAGACACTTTTCACATCTTTTCGTAGACAATCGCAGGCGATACTTATATAGAGAGTTTTATCGTAAGTAGGAAATAAATTAAAATGAGCAAAGAA